TGATAATACAAATGATGCATTAGGACTTGAGTTTACTGACCTAATAAACACTTTTGGAGTCAAGCCAAATGTCACCGGGCCCACTCATCGTTTTAATCATATGCTAGATTTAATTATATCACATGGAACTGATCTTACTGATATAGATATCGTACCTCAAAGTGATGAAGAAAAAGCTAATGGTTAGTTCTTATACAGGACGTCCCATACTATATGCAGACCTCATTTGAAACCATTTTACTGCAGCATTTTCAAGATATGACACATTATTACACTTTAGAGGGCTATGAAGACCCCATTTCTAATAAGCAGAAAAAGCTAATGGTTAATTCTTATACGGGACGTCCCATAATACTGTATATGCACACCTCATATCGAACCATTTTACTGCAGCATTTTTGAGATATGGGACCATATGGTGCTTTAGAGGGCTATAAAGTGTACTGTGGCAGTTCGAAGTTGCATACATCCAAATAAAGTACTCTTAAAGAGAGTATATTGTTTCTCCAATTTTGAGACTTATAGAAACGGCCGTTTAAATACGTAGATAAAAATAATGGGCTTTGCATTAGGGTTGCACAATTAATCGAAATTAAATCGCAAAGGCAATAAATCACGATTAGGCAGAAGCTGCGATTGTCATGCATACCTTTCAGTGAAGTACAGTTCTGTAATCAGCAGTAAATCTCCATCCGAAGGCCAGAGGGTGCGCGCTGAAAATCCAAATATGCCCCGAAGAAGAAACCCAGGAAATGCCTATCACTGCAGCTGAATAAACAGATTTAACTGCTTTCATTGATTCAACGTGACTAAATAAACACAAGACTACAGCAATATATGGTTTATCGGAGTTCTTATTATTATGATTTTCATCATAATAAAGTATATCTATAATGAAATGCTAATCGACATAGCCATTATCACTGCTTAGAATACAATTAAATATTGTGTGCCCTAATTATTCTGTTTAAGAATCATCTCAGAGAAGGATTTATTTCAAACACTCGACTGACGTTATGAAGTGAGTTTGGAGTAAAAACATGTTATTAAATGTGGCATTTTCACGTGCTCTCAGATGGAGTAGCATTTACTACACAGAGCCGTAGTTCACTGAGAAGATAGCAAACAGCTGTCATTATCGCAAACGATTTCATCGATTTCATAATCCTAGGATTATATCGTCTGCGATTTTGCATAGCTTGTCAGAGAACTATGACTCTATGTAGTAAATGCTGCTCCACCTGAAAGCAGGTGATGGACATTTACTACTAATCACAGAACCGGCTTTACTGACAAAATGTGCATGACAATCACGATTAATCGCGTTCGTTTAATCGTGTAGCCCTACTTTGCATGCAAGGCACTTCCTACTCTATCAGCAAATATGAAGTCACACACACTTCAGAACTGTCACACTATACCTCACACACACTGTCTGAAAACCTAATATGGAGTCTTTGCTCTGTGAAAGTTTAGAGTAGCGGATGGCTGGATCATAGCGTATCCCCAGTCTTGCTTTTGGAGATCTCGCTGAAAGTTCAGCTCCAAACATATTCTAATTAAGAGTCAGGAACAATAGATAGTTACAGACAGATTTGCTGAAGCAGGACGACACTGAACTCTGCAGGAAGGTAGATCTCCTGAAACAGGATTGGGTATCCCTCATGTATTATGTGCCTTTTAAAAATAGTCAGTGTTTCTACTTATGTGGTTAAATAGCGTTTTGTATTAAGATACATGTTACTCCAAACTGCCACAGTACACAGACTTCATTTTAGCTGTGCTGATAGAGTAGGAGGTGCCTTCCATGAAATGGCCATTGTTTTTCTGTAGTTATATAAGCTGACATTTCTATACGTCACAAAGCTGGAGAAATTATGCAAGGTCTCAGAATTTTCTTGACTCTGAATGCGCGCAACTCCAAATTGCTACACTAAAATGTTTTTATATAATGGTTGCACATATTAGGTGAGGTCTCTTATAAGAATTGGTTATTTTTTTTATTTATTGGAATGGATAAATGTACAGTTTTATATGTGACACTTATATGTGAAATAATTTCATGCTTCTAAAAGTTATACAGTAAAATGTTTTCCATTGATTTACTCATAGATTTTAGAAAACGTTTTTTTTTTTTTTACTTACTAGACTAACTATACTTCTCTACTTACTACCATTCATGTCTTCTACTTTACACAAATTAGGTCTTTATGGCCTTCTAACGTGTAATAATGTCCCATATCTCGAAAACACTACAGTAAACTGTTTTTATATGAGGTGTGCATATAGTAATGGACGTCATGTATAAGAACTGACCATTGTTTTTTTCCAATTATTAGAAATGGGGACTTTATCGCGCTCTAAAGCGCCATATGGTCCCATATCTCAAAAATGCTGCAGTAAAATGGTTTCATATGAGGTGTGCATATAGTAATGGACGTCCCATATAAGAACTGACCATTGTTTTTTTTCCTACTTATTAGAAATAGCATCTCTATAGCCCTCCAAAGCACCATATAGTCCCATATCTCAAAAATTATGCACTAAAAATAGTTTCATATGAGGTGTGCATATAGTTTGGGACATCCCGTATAAGAACTGACCAGTGGTTTTTTCTACCTATTAGAAATGGGGTCTTTATAGACCTCTAAAATACCATTTAGTCCCATATCTAAAAGATGCTGCAGTAAAATGGTTCGATATGATATAGTGTGCATACACTAATTAACAATTAGCTTTTTCTACTTACTAGAAATGGGGTCTTTGTAGGCCTCTGAAGTAGAATAATGTGTCATATCTCAAAAATGCTGCAGTAAAATGTTTTTTTTTTATATGAGGTGTGCATATACAGTAGTATGGGACGTCCCATATAAGAATTAAACATTAGCTTTTTCTACTTGTTAGAAATGCGGTCTTTATAGCCCTCTAAAATGTAACAATGTGTCATATCTTGAAAATGCTGCAGTAAAATGTTTTTTTATATGAGGTGTGCATATAGTATGGGACGTCCCTTATAGGAACTGACCATTGTTTTATTCTACATTAGAAATGGGGTCTTTATAGCCCTCTAAAGCACCATATAGTCCCATATCTCAAAAATGACTCCAAATTGCTACACTAAAATGTTTTTATATAATGGTTGCACATATTAGGTGAGGTCTCTTATAAGAATTGGTTATTTTTTTTATTTATTGGAATGGATAAATGTACAGTTTTATATGTGACACTTATATGTGAAATAATTTCATGCTTCTAAAAGTTATACAGTAAAATGTTTTCCATTGATTTACTCATAGATTTTAGAGAACGTTTTTTTTTTTTTTACTTACTAGACTAACTATACTTCTCTACTTACTACCATTCATGTCTTCTACTTTACACAAATTAGGTCTTTATGGCCTTCTAACGTGTAATAATGTCCCATATCTCGAAAACACTACAGTAAACTGTTTTTATATGAGGTGTGCATATAGTAATGGACGTCATGTATAAGAACTGACCATTGTTTTTTTCCAATTATTAGAAATGGGGACTTTATCGCGCTCTAAAGCGCCATATGGTCCCATATCTCAAAAATGCTGCAGTAAAATGGTTTCATATGAGGTGTGCATATAGTAATGGACGTCCCATATAAGAACTGACCATTGTCTTTTTTTCTACTTATTAGAAATGGCGTCTCTATAGCCCTCCAAAGCACCATATAGTCCCATATCTCAAAAATGATGCACTAAAAATAGTTTCATATGAGGTCTGCATATAGTATGGGACGTCCTGTATAAGAACTAACCATTAGCTTTTTCTACTTATTAGAAATGGG